TGTGTGTTTTTCATAATAATCATTGAGTCACTGGTGTCTGTGAGCTGGGTGCTTATGGGAGGGTGAGAGCGCTTCGGTCAGATTGAGCAGGAGACCTGACTTTCATGCCCAGCAGTCAATGACCATGCAGACCAGCGCACTGCCAAGCTGGCCGGTGCCCCTGGGAGTGCCGTGGCCTCGGAGGAGATAAGGTGGGACCAGCTGTAGGCCTTGGCCGCGGGCAGGAGCGTGGGGGTCTGAGAGGGCTGCTCAGACTTACCCACTGAGTCTGACTACCCCCGCCTGGTCGCTGACGAGACCTAGGGTCTCAGGCCTTGTTTCTTTCTGTTTTGAGTGTTCCAGTGTCACAGCCAGAGCTCAGCTTTGAGTCACAAATTGTCTGTCTGTCACTGGTGTTACCTTGCTCAAAAAACTGTTGCCCTTATTTTGAAAATGAGGGGAAAAAACACCATTTAGTCTATGGGGACACGAAGAGGTCTGGGCGGGTGAATGAGCCAGGGCACTGCCTTGCAGACTCTGGGCCTGAACACCCGGGGATGCAGCGGACAGCTGGAGCCAATTCTGTGGTTGCCTGGGACGCCTGTCCGAGAGGACTCGAAAGAGGAGAAGGGTCCGTTGCTAGAGAGCAGCTCCTGGAAGGGCTGCCAGACACTGCCTGAGTGTTGAGGATCCAGACTGGGGGGAGTGGGGACAGTACTGGTGTCTGGTCCGTGAGGCCACACACGCGACCCTCTTAGCAGAGCTCGGTCCCCTGAGCGCTCCACACGTCCTGGGGGAAATGCCGGTTCTTGGTACTGGAGGGAAAACAAAAGGTTCAGGTTAGAGAGCTGTTCTTGCGTGGGCCTTCACATAGAAACCATTTTGATGGTCCATCTAAAACCAGTTTGTACCTGTAGCTGCGTGTGTTTGTCAGAGCAGGCAGACTGTGCTATGGTAAGAGCAGTCTGGATCCCAGGGCTCAGCCCTGCACACTCACCACCTTGTGTCCATGACGCAGTCTTGGACCATTTCTCAGCCGTCTCTAGAGGCAACTCGGGGACCAGGCTCCCTTCGCACTGGGAAACCACCATCTCCACATGTGGCGTCCAGAGTAGCCACACAGAAGAAAAAGATGTTGGAGGGTCTCTGGGTGGCCCGGCCCACCCTTGAGGGAGCCTGGGAAGTGGAGGCTTTTGTGCCAGAAGTGATAATAAGTGCGGAGAGGTGTGTCTCTGCCGGAGTTAGGCTCCAGAGTGCCCCCAAGGCTGGACGGCGGAGCGCACCGTGGATCTCTCACCGTCTCCCAGGCAGTTACAGTCATATGTCTTCTTTTATTCTCCAGGTCGCCAATGGAAGGATCCAGAGCCTGGAAGCCACCGTTGAGAAGCTCCTAACTAGTGAGAGCAAGCTGAAACAGGCCACCCTGGCCTTGGAGCTGGAGAGGTCAGCGCTGCTGCAGACGGTGGAGCAGCTCCAGAGGCAGACGGCGGAGCTGGGCAGCCGGGAGCCTGACCCCACACTGCCCAAGCCCTCGGGCGACTGATGGCCTGGGGCCCAGCTCCTGCCAGCCCACAGCTCCAGAACAGGTGTGGCCACTGCCCTGACACTGTCCAGGCCTTAACTGAGAGAGACGAACATGCCGGAGGAGAACGGAGAACGGAGCGTGCTTCTCAGGGAGGAGGCTGGCGTGCCAGCACACAGATTCTTCTGAACTGACTCCCAGTGCAGGGGACGGACGTCCCAGTGTTTTTGTTTTTGTTTAAGTTTAATTCTTCCCTTTTCCAGTCCTGATTACTGTACTCAGTAGATTAGATGGCATGGACGCGAATAAATGCACCTTTATGTTTCTTTGTTGCTTTCTTTTTCAGCATCACTGTGTCTGTAAAGAGCATTTGTTAGTCCTCTGGTATTTCACAAGCTGATGAGGCTGGAGGTATGCTTCCTCTGGCAAAGATGTGTCCGTTGTTCTTCCAAGAGGGTTTGCATGACTTACACCCTCAGCATCACCAGTGGGGGGCAGTTGGCTCGTGACCATTCTTGTTGGGGAAGCCCCACATTACCCCTGGGAAAAATCAAAAGTGATTTATTTAAATTTGATATCTTAAATTTGGTCACCATGCTTGATATTTAATGAAGTTTGTCTTTGAAGAATAGTTTTCGTATGTTTTTGCTTAGCCCTTAAGTGTTGATCACATTCACTGTAGACACATGTTTTTATGGGAAAATCACCGGTTTTTAGACTGTACCAGGTCTGGCTCGCATGTGACTGACAGCTGCAGACTTTGAATATTTATTGTTTCGCTGTGGCGTCTCATGTCCACACTACAGAGTTGTGTGTTTGTGTTGTGCCATCATGCGATGTGAGCAGCCTTATGTCCCTTCGAGCCTCCACCCCTTGGGAATCGGATTCCTTGCTGAAGTTGCCCAGCATGTCAGGACTTTCAAGGGCCCCAGACATTCTGGGGTTTTAAAGTCTTCATACTTTCAGCCTGAAATTACATCAAATGTGCAGCAGCTGAGAGCAGTTTTTCATGGTAGGATGTGCGATTTGAATGTAACTCACAGCCCAGTGACCCACTCCCTCAGGACGAGGAGAACCAGTGCCTTCAGCCGTCAAAAGGCTGCTGCCTGATGTCATCTGGTCGCCCTCTGAGGCCCTTCCTCATGACACGCTAGAGCGGGCGGTGGACTCGAGAGGGGACGTGTAGGCAAGTTCACGTCTCGACAGCAGAACCATGTCTAGTCTTTATCATCACAACCACTTCTGTTCCACAGGAGTTCTTTGACACCCTCTGTGGCAGGCGTGTCTTTCAAGCCTGAGGTGAACGGAAGGGTTCTTATACCTGGAGTCTTTCTGGATCTTTCCAGATGTTTCCAAGGGAGGCACACATGCTACCCCTGGTGCCTACACAGTTGGTTGACACCGGGGGCTCTCTACCATTGCGCGTGTCATAAACCACGATGACAAGCCTATAGCCTTTATTATGAATTGTTCCACCAGCTGTAATTTATCGGAGTTAACATGTGAGGTCTTCTTCCCACATACTTTACTGTTTGAATGTTTAATAATGTTGAATTTTGGACATCTTATTACCATTACTCAAAAACATCGACTCTGCATTAAATAAGATACAAAGCAATAAAAAATAATTCATACTTGTACTTTTATGCTGCCTTTTTTTTTTTTTTTTTTTTGAAAAAAATGTTGGGTTTTTGCTTTTCAGCAAAAAGCTGAAGGACCACCCCAGGTGGCACTAGTGGTGAAGAAACTGCCTGTCAGTGCAGGAGACACAAGAGATGTGGGTTTAGTCCTTGGGTCAGGAAGATCCCCTGGAGGAGGGCATGGCAACCCACTCCAGGATTCTTGCTTGGGAAATCCCATGGATAGAGGAGCATAGCGGGCTATGGTGCATAGGGTTGCAAAGACTTGGACGTGAATGAAGTGACTTAGCACGTGTATGAATGCCTGTGGGTCAGAGTGTGGCTGTTCCCGAGCCAGCAGTGAGTTCTCTGAGGGCCTGGCGTCTTGTCTTTCAAGTGCAGCTCCCCAAGTGTGACATCTCTCCTCTGCGTGCATAGTAGGGCTGCTCAGACCAGACGCACCCGTGCTACGTGCCAATGGTAACAGCCAGTGCTGTTATGAGATGGCGCTGGGTGGGTGGGGAGGACAGTGGGCATGGGCTTGTGTTTACAGGTTGGACAGTCAGCCTGTGTCTTAGCTGGGGACAGATAAAGTCATCATTCACATCATTGCCTGAGGATTCACAGAGGCGAGTTTTTAAACTAAGAAAGTTTCCTGTTGTGTTTTTCCCCCACACACAACTATATGCACACACATGTGTGCACTTGTAGGTTGTCTGTCTGTTGATGAAATTTATACCCTCTCAGATGGAAGACCTTGAATCCCCAGGAAGCATCCTGTAACACAAAGCACGTAGATTCAATGCACAGCACTCAGCTGGGAGCCCTGTGAGGAGTTACGTGGAGATAGAACAGCGGTGTCCATTAGGGTTCTGTGTTTGCTTTGGGTGGTGAATTGGGGGGAAGGATTGCTCTGAGGGCTGTAGGATGCAGGAGTTGCTACCAGAATAAGAGAAAATGCTACTGTGTGAGAAGCTGCGGAGAAGGTGCAGAAGGAGGTGTGCAGGTCATGAGAACTCCATGGTGGCCCTTCTGGGAGGCAGGAGGCATGTAGGTGCTGACATAGGCCTGGGCGGGGGCGCGGGGCTCCGGGAGCCGCTGTGGCCGCCGCGCAGTGACCGCCGCCGTGTCGGCAGCCAGTGTTTGGTAGTGGGAGCGGAGCCAGCCTCGGGAACTGCTCAAGGTCAGAACATGGAAGAAGAGCCGGAGGTGGAGCCAGAGGAGGAGAACGAGGACAAACGGACCCACGACGCCTCGTGCCTGTCCATCACCGTAGGTGACCGACACCCTGCAGAGAAAAGTGGCCCTGGCTTCACTTTACCTTCCAAAAATCACCCAAGCCTGTCTTTGAGTCAGTTCTGATTTAGAACCGTGAGCCAAGGGGACACAGGGAAATGTAGTCCCGGCTTAACCAAGCTGATGTAATACAAACCAGGACAATTAATTTTGGAACCTGCCTAACTGGAATGAGAGCGTGCACATGTGAGTCATTCACTGGAGGCCCCCAGCTAAGTATATATGATTCGGGATCCATAGGGTTAGGATTCATAGACTGGTTTTGACTTTGTCACTGATGGTACAACACTGGAGACTTGAAAACTGCAGGAACCACAGCTGACATGTCAGACCACCCCAGCCTTCCATCCCCTTCCTCTAGCATCGTTGTGCCATGGACTCAGTCTTGTCTGACTCTTTGAGACCCCATGGACTGTAGCCCACCAGCCTCCTCTGTCCATGAGGATTCTCCAGGCAAGAATACTGGGCCGAGTTGCCGTTTCCTCCTCCAGGGGACCTTCACCCCCCAGGGATCAAATCTTCCTCTCCTGCCTTGGAAGGCGGATTCTTGACCTTCTGAGCCAGAGGGGAAGCCCCTCTATGAAACTCCCCTCTATCAAGTATGACCGAACATTCTACAGGTGAAGATCCAGAAACTTGCTATGTAAAAATAATTTACCGGCCACATTGTGTTAAATGGAAACTGCTTTAAGGGTTTGGGATAGCTCAAAATATCTCAGATTGGAGGGAACCTTCTGTTTCATACTGGAAAATCATTTTCTATCTCATTTTACAGAGGGAAAAACTGAGAAGAGAGCTTCAGCTAATGGTTACCTGCAGGGTCAGGGGGAGCCTCAGTCTCCTGACCAACTAGCTAATAATACACATCACCCAGCTTTAATTCCAGTGAGTTCTGCAAATCACTTCTGATGGCATTCAAGTTCAAGGCAAGGAAAGGTGTGCTTCACTTTCCAGAAGGGTGATCTGTATAGTAAGGAGCCCAACTCAGGTTCTCTCCTGAGATGTGGAATCTCCAGGGGCCTTAATTTGTCCTGAGTTAAAACCAGAGGGGAAGACTTCCCAATGGTCCAGTGGTTGAGAATCCGTCTGCCAATGCAGGAGACACGTGTTCCGTCCCTGGTCCAGAAGGATACCATGAGCCTCGGAGCAGCTGGGACCTGTGTGCCTCAACTTCTGAGCCTGTATGCCACAATTACTGAAGCCCGTGCACCTGGAGCCTGTGACCGCAACAAGAGAAGCCATTGCATTGAGAAGCCCTCAAACCACAACTGGAGACGCGTTGAAGAACCATTGCAGCCAAAAATAAATAAATAATTAACCCTCCGCCCCCAAAACACCAGAGGCACTCCCCAGTCCATGTGTGGCAGAGAAATGCTACTGCGACAGGTTTCAATTGATTGGGTCCAACCTTTGTTCTTGACAGTCATTTCTTTTTTTACTTTAGACTTCTAAACCCCTTGCATTGCCATGTTAAAAAAAAAAAAAATCACAGAATTGCATTTGGTTTTTAAGAAGTGAAACTTCCCAGTCTGTAAAGTTTTTTGTTGCCATCTTTAGAAACAATCAGATTAGGGAAATATAAGAGCTGGGGTATGGAGCAGCCACAGCAGTTATTCATTAAAATTGATAACAAAAGATGAAAAAGCATGTTCTTAGTACGTAGGCTTCATAGATTAACTGCTTTCATATCTCCAAAGTGAATAATCAACTGTTTTGGTTGTAAACCCTTATTAGCAAGTTGTTTGAATTCATATTATTATGTCAATATTTATTTTAAAGTTTCACTAAATTATAAGATAGAAGTTTTAAATGAGGTGAAACAAAATAGTTTAAAAATACTAACGATTAAAAAGTTGATATCCAATGTCTTTAAGGAGAACAATAAACACTTCATTTTAAATATTACTTTAAGACTGTGACACAGTAATTCCGGTGTCAGTTTCCAAGTTCAGCCTAGTATGGTTGGTTTCAGTTCACTGCCATGGCTGAAAAGAGGATGACTTCCAACCTCTAAATGGAGAAGGGACTGCTCGTCGCATTAAGTCAGGCTGTTCATTAGTTCACGTGTGCTCACCAGCTATGCAAAGGCTTTTTGTGGAAACCTGACTAGTAAATTTTCATCTTTCTCCAAGGCAGATTGATGTGAACTAATCAAAATGTGTTAGACTTTTATATTTGTAATCAAGGACTAAAAAGTACTCAAACTCTTCATTTGGCCAAGCTTTGAACAAGTTATAAAAGCATTTCCAAGATCGTTTGGGTAAACGTTCACGTGGTTTTGGGTTAAGAGATGACCACTAACACGCCGAACGTCCTTTGCTGGCAAAGCCGTTTCCATGGCTCATCTCAGTAGTCTGTCCTGGGCGCTCTCCCTCTCAGAGCCCAGCGCTCTCAGTAAGGGGCGGTGGGGGTGGAGGGGCACTGGCGTGGGGGTCCTCCCTGTCCATGTGGCCCCCTGCCCCTGCCCCTCTGGGCCCCTTTCCTTCTGTCCTCTGGGGGCCCGGGGGTGTAGGTTGTGCGGAGCAGAGAGGGGCTTCACGTGTGTGTGGGACCCTGGCTTAGCCTGGACAGCTGCCAGGGCCCCAGGGACACGGGTCTGCAGCATTCTTTCTCCCCATCAGATTCACCTGCTGCTCCTCACTCGCCAGGCTACTGTTTTCATCTCATTCGTTATTTGGGTCTGTGTTTTGGGTGCCTTCTTTCTGCTGTTCTGGATACTGGTTCTTCCTAAACCCCTAATCATATTCCTCACGTCTTCCAGCCTTAGGAAAAGCCGACGCTCTGGCTTTGGTTCTCAGCCCCTGCAGGGTGGTCCTGGGGCACCGTCCTAAGGGAATCGGTTCAGATGGTGCAGCCTCGCACGAGGGAAGTGGAGGGAAGTGTGCGCGGCAGTTGTGGGAGGGGGCAGGTTGATGCGTATGGCAATGTTCTGCCCACCTCAGCTCCTCCTGTTCTTTCCACTGAGGATTCCGTGATCCATTTTCCTTCCTCTGAGGCGCATGGCCATCACCTTTCCTCCTAAACTTCATGTGCCCTAATCAGCGATTCATGTCGATTATCAGAAATGATAAAGTGAGTTTTTCCTTCAGGATGCCTCTCCTTCACCCTTTCTGTTTCTGTGATCACTCCTAGTATCAGAAGTGCCCCACTCTCTTCTCATGATGTAGACTGGGTCCCACGTGCCCCTCAGAGCCTGACTCCACAGTCACTGATGTCCACCTGTTTGGCTGTTTTCACTCTTTTCTCAGGTGATTACGGTGCCCCTACTATGAACCAAACCCTGATCCAGGCCCTGAGACCACAAGAGAAGGCCTGCCGCCCTTCTGCATAGCAGAATAGGGAATGTTTACTGACTGAAATAAACAAACGAAAATTCATCACGCGATGAAGACTGTCAGAGAAGGCTCATCTGAGGAGCCGCACTCAAGGTGGGATCTGAAGAATAAGGAACCAGCCAGAGAGGGGTTAGGTGGCTTAATGTTAGAAGATGACAGAGTGCTTTCCAAATCACGCATGATTCTATCCTAACCATCAGTCTCATGTCAACAGATCTCCTTTCAAAAACCCCAGCGCTCTTAACACCGCGTCTTTTTCAGATGGCAAGAAAACACTGATATCTTTCAAGATACAACCCCCATTACTGTATAGTCTCATACAGGTAAGTGATAAATGATGGGTCCCATCACTGATGGTTTCAACTGACACGAGGGAATCTGCTGTT